TTACTTTTTATGCTAAACAGTATTCATCGTTGCAGCTGTTGTGAGCCAGGGGAAGGATTTTTGCATAACCGATAGAAGGAGCTGTGGGATGGCTGAACCAATTCGTACAGAAAAATAGGATTAAAAACGATACTTGTAACATATCGTAACACAGCTTCACAGGAGTTGGTGTAATGGCCCCCTATCCAGAGCCGAACGGCATCCCTATCTCCTAATTGGTAGAGTCATTATTGATAACGATTTATCAAACAATCATTTGGAGTGTTTTAGGTCAAGGAACTATGTCCAACACTTTTGGACGAAAATCGTGAAGTGCGCTTTCATCTCATGCAACAGAATCTCATTGAGATGATCAGGAGAGGGTCAGTCAAGGTTTTTTTTATTGACTACTGTGTACTTATGTATCAGAGGCCCAATTTGCATCGCTTCTGGAATAAGGCATGTGTTTTGTATCGGGTGCGCCACATAAGCTGCAAATTTGATGATGGATAGGCTTTAGCTATTCGCATACGGATCGCTTCTATCCACGTTTTTAAATATATGACATTTTCGTGTCTTCAATTAGGGCCATCGAAATTCAAAAAGTGGAAAGCCTGATCGAATATTTTGTGAAAAACTGGCTTGTTTTCAATCAGTTTTCTGTAATATCCCCAGTTTTCAGGGAAATGGAGAAATCGCTGGAGTACGCTCAAGAGAATCTCTCAAATGATAACACCTTGACGGATTCTCAATTGGAGAGATTGGAGAAAACGTTTGCATTGTTAGCTTTCGAGAAACCCGCTGAGAGTCCCTTTGGAAAGCTGTTGGATCAGTCTCAACGCCAGATGGTATGAGATATTATTATTGATGAGAAATAGCGACCCGTTAATGACACCATTTAACAGGACGGTTAAATAATTGAGACAAATTGAATATTTCAAGTACGACCATAATCGTGCTCTCTCATGCTAAGCGTGCTACTAGTCGTTCAATCGTTTGAGTGAATTCCGGCTCAATTTACTCTTTATTGCCCTTCTCTTAACACGAATGTGACGTAGTGACAAGTGGATCCTTAGCACGCGCGGTCCGTGGGGGGGGGGCAAACCTTTGGCCACAGTGATGGGCATTGAAGCCTTTCATCCCTGTTGGGTCGCTCAATTAGTTCAAGATATATCTGGGAAGGAAACACCAGCCTGTGCATCGGTTGGTCCAGGAAAGTCCTTGTAGGGGCCATATCGCAGTCAATAAGCCACCTTCTTCCCAAAAAGGGGTTGGTCAGCCGCGGAAGCCTTATCTTCTAGCAGCCTACTCTTCGAAATGCAAGCCGAATTTTGATCGGTATTTCCTTCTGGGATAGATTTGGAGCAAATTTTTTTTGACCGGGGCATTTGACCCCTTGAGCACAAATTCCACATACATTTGAAACAGGATGCCTAGCGTTTGTGCCAATTGCGTCAGCGTCACAGGTACTTTTTGGCTGCCGCGCTTGTAGCGTACGTACCGCACATTTACCCATCAAGCTAGTGTGCCTTTTGTGTTCTGAGATCAAAGTATCCTGGTTGACCAGTTTCGAACGAATCTGGTGTTTTGACGCCAGGTCTGCAGCGCGAGATGTTCGTGTTTAGGGGTCATTTACCTCCGAATGTAGAACTCGCACTCATTTACGCCTGTTATGTCCCAAAGCCATCCGAAATCAAGTCCAGTTTCTGACCGACTTTTGGTGGGTGCGTGCCGTGGGCAAAAATTGTTGAAAACTTGCCTCAGGGTAGTTCGACCCGCTGAACACGAATATCGCATTCGCTTGACCCGAAACCTCCTGGCGCCCGCGCCACGGGCGCCGGCGCCAAAATACTCGAAATCACCAAATTCGCTGAAAACTTGCTCCCAGGGGTAGTTTGACCCCCTGAACACGAATATCACATCCGCTCAACCCGAAACCTCCTAGCGCCCGCACCACGGGCATCGGCGCCAAAATACCCCAAATCATTGGCGCCTGTGGCGCGGGCGCCAGGAAGTTTCGGGCTGAGCGAATGTGATATTCGTATTCTGGAGGTCAAACTACCCCAGGAGACAACATTTGAGCAAAATCTGCCCACGGAGAAAAAAGTCGGTCAGGAACTGGCCTGATTTCGGATGACAGCATGGCAGTAAATATTACACACGGTCTACAGATACTTGATCTTGTTTATGCAGTGATGATAATTTAGTGAATAACCTACAGGTGGGTCCTCCTACAGGTAACAGTGATCACTCAGCAATCTGTTTCTCTCTCAATCTTTCCTGCGCTAGAGATCTTTTCGTTTATAAGAGGTGTATATAAAAATGCTAACTTTGAAGATATTTGTGCTTATCTTCAGACGATCGATTGGGTCGGGTCCCTTAACAGTGCGGCTACGGTAGATGATAAGTATGAGCTCTTTATCTTTATTCTGCGTCATACTATTGAGTCATTCGTTCCCCTGGCTAGGGTCCCACTACAAAGGAAGCATCTTCCTCGGCATCTCCGCTCCCTTCATATCAGGAAATCAGTTGCTTGGAGGCGGGCCTCCACTAGTGGATTGTATGAGGATTGGGAATCCTATCGTTCCATTGCTGCCGACCTTTCGAATCAGAGAAATTACGCAAGTACAATAGATTTATCGAAAGGAAGGTGATTGGGTCTGGTGATAAGCGAGCCTTATATCGGTTACTCAACACAAGGCTTTGCGAACGTCCCGGAATGGGTGTCCTCAAAGCTGTCGATGGTAGTATTGTTCGAACGGACTGTGAGAAATCGGAGTTGTTAGCTGATACCTTTGCAAAAGCTTTCAATCCGCCTAGCGCCCTCAACATCCCCTCTTGCTCTGCGTCCTTTCCGACCATGACTGATTCTACTCGCTTCAATGCAGACGAGATCTACCAACTTCTCATTAAGTGGCCCTCCTCCACCTCTGATACTCCTGACACGTGCCCTTGTCCTTCATCAAGCCCATCGCTCACATTATTGCTGGTCCTCTTGAGCTTCTGTTTAATCTCAGTTTTATGAGCGTCGTCGTACCCAAGAAATGGAAATTGTCCTTCGTTACACCGATTCTGAAAAAGCAGCCATCCTCATGCCCGGAGAACTATCGCCCAGTCAGTATCACTTCTATTTTCGCAAGGCTTTTCGAGAAAATTTTGAAGAAGTCAATTGAAAGGCATCTTGAGCAACACGAAATTATTTCACCGAACCAGCATGGTTTCCGAAAAGGTAAATCCACAGTTACGGCCATGTTACAATCACTCAATGATTGGACCTTCAACTTAGAGAAGGGACTTTCGACTGATGTCATTTACCTTGACTTTTGTAAAGCGTTTGATAAGGTACAGCACGCCTCGCTTCTCATTAAGCTTTCGAGTGTCGGCATTCACCCCCATATAGTTGCCTGGATCAGAGAATTCCTCACGGACCGGGCAGTTTGTAGTACGATTAGGCTCCACCTTCTCCTCTCCCAGGCTTGTTACCAGTGGTGTTCCTCAGGGCGGAGTTCTTTCGCCCACTCTGTTCAACATTTACACCTACGATTTGCTTACGATAATAAGGCTCTGGGCCGGGCGTTAACTGTTGCGCAGCTTTGCTGACTGTTTTTACAAAATTTATAACAGTGTGGCCGTCCTAGAGAAATAAGGAATCCATTCAATCTGCGGTCGTCCTTGCTTTAAGTTGGGCTGCTGAGTGGAGTCTCCCACTATCCAAAGAGAAAACGAAGATTCTGCATATTGTGTTCACATGGCAACCGCTGAGGCTACCGTACTATATCGATGTGACCACATGCTACTAATTGCATCGGTTCCTCAGGTCAAGGATCTTGGCTTTGTGATAACTACCAATCTGTCCTTTGATAGTCACTGTGAGCTTATAGTCAATCGTGGTTTGAGTGCTACTTACCGATTGTTCAAAGCCCTTACAACTAGTGACTGCTCTACTCTCCTTTTTGCGTATAAAACCTATGTTAGGCCTCTAGGCCTCTGCTCGAATATGGTACAGTGGTGTTTAGTCCGCACAAGCGGAAGTATATTGACTTGATTGAGAAAGTGCAAAACAGCTTCACAAGAAAACTTATGATCAGAGTAGTGGGCTTCAGTTACAGGGACATCCCTAACCATGTCGAAAGAAACACCAACCTTGGCCTCCGATCACTTTGTTGGAGGAGAAAGAAGCTTGACTTGGTAATGTTTCACAAAATAATCCACGGCCGTACTGGTCTTACTCCTGGATCGTTCTGCACTGTGAGATCTTCAGTTACCAGGGGTGGTGCAATCAAATTAGTTAGGCCAGCAGCTTAGATTCAATGTTCGCGTTCACTTTTTTGCTGTGCGTGCAAGCGTATTATACTCAACACTGAGCAAAAAGATGTCTATTCCCACCAACAGTCACACCTTTAGCAAGCTTATCGATTGCTACCTGGATAAGTGATGATGATGGCTCCTCTTACACCTTCTCTTTGAACGGTTCTCCCCATTTGCTTATTTAATAATACTTACACCTATTCTTAAGAGAACTTGTAGTATTAGTTGTTTTTCCCCCTGCGGATTTCCTACGGATTTCTGTTTTATATGTTTGTCGGCTGATGTGTAAACGCACATGAGTCGCTCATAGGTAATATAATGAATGAGATTAATGAAGACTGGGGCAGTTAAAGGGTAAAGTCAGTGCCGAAATACTCTAGCCAGATATTCGTTGAATGAGGCGAGTTAGTGTCATCCGTGTGCCAACCTTAGCGTAGGCGTTCAAATCCAAAATGTTTCTATTTTATAGTTGGGAGGAGAGAAATGGAGGCGGTGGGGGGGTACACCCAGTTCACGACTGCCCACTTGCTGGTCGCCCGATCGACTACCCACTTGCTGGTTCCCCCGATCGATACATATCAAAATCTTTTCAAGGATGCACCGATTCATTCGAACAATGCCTGAAGGGTAAATAGTACCGCTTCGCCACGGATGAGATATCAGATTTCCATTTTTTTTGTTGTTACTTGATTCGAATAATCTGCTTTTCATAATTCTGCAGATAACGAAGTGGTGATACTTGTAGAGAGATTTGGCCGTCTTGGAGCTAAACTCGAAAGCACAAGGGGGGGGGGGCATCTGTGTGATTTCTGGCACAGCGGTGCAGCCGGCTGTATAACCTCTACCCTCATCCGTCTTCCTATTTACATGGAATGTCGATTCCTCATCCATGCCAAGGCATTATTCTTCTTCAGGTCTCCACTGAGGTAAACGGAGCCGTACTGCGAGCGCTAAATCGACCTGCTGCACCGCGTCTGGAAGCTTTGCTGCGTATGATCGTTTGGGCTCAAAAGCAACTGGTCACGGATCGAGAAGAGGATCGAACAACAACAACAACTACTGCACCTCCTTATTCCTCCACTTCTGGAAGGTATGCAGGGGGCGCTTCCGGTGGATCTACTGATACGAACGCAATCGCTCGATCCCTTTTTGGCGGCACCTCTTGCTAACTCCTTAGTCATTTTCGTAGTAGTTTTCTTCCCTGTGCATTTTATATAGTTCATATTTATTCATGTGATCTGATAATAATAGCCTAAATTATTGCTTAATTCTTTGGTAGTTTGTCTCAGAAGATCTGTCTTGAAATATTAGCCTTTTGTTAAATGCGCTTCCAATATTTCCTTCATGCTTGTTCATATGTATGTATGTACAGCTGTGTTTTTGACGGGATAGTGGTTGCTTATAAACTCTAGCTCAAGTGTTTTCGTCTTAGAATGTTCTGGCCTGAAATTTCAGCGCGAATGCCAAACGTCAGATTTATCGCCAACCAACAAATCAGTTTGTTCAAAAACCTTTTTCTGAAAGTGTCACGATGTATTTCCTTTATTTTAAAGTTGATCGGTGTACATAACTTGTTCGCTGCGGATGACAGCGCGTTTCAGGTTGACTGTCCTTGCCGTGGCGCCAACCACCAATCGCGTGAGCCGGTAGTTGATGGA